TTTAATTTCTTTTATTAGAAAATTTTGGTAAAAATATTCTTTTACATATGTTTCACCTCCTTACTTAATTTTATGAAAACTTAAGAAATTCAATGTAATAATTTTAGTGACTATATTTGTTAAAAGCAGAATTTTTTGAAAAATTTAAATCACCAAATTTTTTTTTGCAAAATCGGACCCTGCCTTACCGAAAATCTGTTTTGAATCGAAAAATATAAAACGCAATAAAACTAAGACATTATTTAATTAGAGAAGCTTTTAATTACTTTTATGAATAATATCTTTTAAAGATAATATTGTTTGAAGAAAAAAAAAATTTTCGACAGAAAACGAATTTGTTTTCATTTTTTACAATTTTAAATTGAATAATTTATAAAGGTGTAAATCTTCTAAAATTCATTTTCAATCAGATAATTTTTAGAAAATACTGTTAAGTAAAACTATATTTTCTAATCATATATTGTAAAGGTTATTAGAATCTGACGACCCGGAATATTTTAAAAGAATTCGATTTGTTTTTGTATGCCTGATTACGTGCAGAATTTCTGAAGTATGGAAGTAAAAACCGATAAAACTATAATTAAAAGGTCACGTGTTTTAAGGTTTCTCCTCATAAACTATATGTTTTGTTCCGCTATAATTAACTATGAACTATCAATCCGCTGTCAATAAATTGATTAACACATCAGAAAAACAAGATCCTGCAGTTAAGAAATGTTTGTATACATTTTATGCTAGATTAACTTAACTTTAAAATTTCTGATTTTTGCCAAATAGCTTTTCAGAAATATATATTTTATCTTTGCAAGATTTTTAAAATCGAGAATTAACTTTTGTTTACAAATGTGTCAAAAATGGCCGATTTTTATCGATTTTACTGAAAAAAATTCAATTCCGATCAATATAATTTCTGTGTGAAATTAAAGCTAAATTTTTTTATTTTTAAAACTTTGTATACCAAATTAGGTACCTCTATAAATATATATATGTATGTACGTAAATATCTATGTATACATGAATTCAATATGTGTGTGTGCATTCCATATATGCATATAGCCACATAAATTCAGCAATATATATATGTATATATATATATATATATATATATATGAAGAGTGCGATGGGTAAATTTTTAACATTTTATATTTTTAATTTCGTGCAGGCACGTTTTTTGTTTGGGATTTTGTCGGCTGCACGATATAGTAGGATCAGTTGAGCAGCGTCTGTGAGAAAATTAGCACCCTGACGCAATTCTTTCCACCAAAAATTTGGAAACGACATGCTTGGCATTCTTACCGAAAGCTCCAATACAAACATTTCAGAGTGTTTGGGTGTCAATCTGAGGACAGTGCAGAGGATTCGGAAAGATTTGGATGAGTCTAATGGTGATTACGAAGGTACGGATCACGGAAAATCATTTTTATCGTTCTGATAAGAAAAGAACTCCCGAATTTGTTGGTGGGGGCCTCAGACTCAACATGGAGGCCTACTGCTTTGAGGAGGTAGTGCGGCCCTGGGTCAATAGGTTGGCTGCTGAAACATCCTATGTGTGACAACAGGACTCAGCACCATGCCACACAAGCAAGAGAACCCAGCTGTCAGACAATTTCTGCGACCACAACACCCCTTACAGCTGGCTAACTAAACCCCCAAACTGCAACCCCCTTTATTATTATGTGTGAGGCACAGTTGAAAGAAAGACCAACAAAACTCCTTGTAACACCAAAGATGAACTAAAGGCAAGGACTATAAGAGCATTCACCAACTTAAACAAGGAGACCGTCCAAAAGAGTTGCAGACGATTCCAAAGTCGTCTGGAGGTCGTGGTTGAAGCCAATGTCGATTTTATTGAATAAATTTATTCGCTAGTATTTCAAGATAATTTTGTGTAATTTTGGTAGATGTACCTGTTAAAATGAGATGTGTTATTTTCATTTCTGCGTAATTTAGACGACAATTTATCCATCACACACTGTGTATATGTGTCTGGATAAAGATTTAGATATAAATAAAATAAATATGTAAAAAGAAAAATATGAATTAAGACAAAATGGAAAACCTTTCTTTACAAACATGTTTCGTCCTCTGAAGGCAATTGTGAGGATTTTATTTTGGAACATGTATTTATAAACACAAGTAAGCTTTCAACATGTTAACATTTCAGAACGCTCGAAATGTTCTTAAAGCTGAGAAACTCAAGGTAAACTATGGAGGGTGCTAAGTAACGTAATTTAATTTCCTAATAAACGAAAGTGAGTGTTATTAAAAATGCTTTGGTAAAGAAAACTTTTCCTTTCATCTTCATTCACGTATATATATATGATAAAATATAGTTTTATGGTCTGCTGTATTTATGGGTTAAAATGCTCAATATCATTGACAGAGCGTATGTAAATATAATAGTGGGCATTGAACTTAACCCCCAGCGGTGACAGCCATCGTTATTATTGTAACCTAGAAAAGGTTACTGAATGTGGAATAACCAAAACGGAGGTTGGAAATAAAATGGTAATCTTTATAACATCAACAAAATACAATACTCGCCAGCAGCGTGAAGTAGGTAAACCACTGTTAGTGGTGGACTACTTAGACAGCATATAACCCCCACTTACAATAGTGTCCAAAGTATTTATGAGGATTGGAACATACCCATTAGTGTTCATAGGTACGGTATATTACAGCTGTCGGTTAGATAATGGCCTGACGATTGCGTATAAACATGTAACAGACTGTCGCTGCAAGGTGTTGACTTCATCTATATATATATATATATATATATATATATATATATATATATATACTAGCCAAAATCACCGCTCTCCCATAAATGCATTGAGCTCTCCTGTGTGTCTTTTCAAATCTGCTCCTTTTGTAGATGCTTGTTTTTTGCGTGTTTTTACAATAACGTTCACCCTATACAAGGCCCGGAGACCACTCGAGGTATAGGGTAGTTTATATGGATAGGAGGAGAAGATAATGGTTAACTCTAGATTTGAACAGGTTAAGATTGTAGTGATAGGGGAAAATCCTCATGGGAGTCAGTTCTACACGGCAGTGGTTCGCGGGAAGAAGCTGTTAGAGTGGGACTTATTTCTCGACGATGGAATATGGATGGAATGTTAGTGGTTTTCTACTATATAAGTGTCATGGTTGATCCTAGACCAGGGGCAAAGAAGGAATATAGTTCATCCGAGCATTTTCCATAGAAGTAGCGAAACAGCAGTGAGAAACTCGCCACATCCGGCCTGTGAAAGAGAGAGGTCGAAGGTTGGAAAATAATTCTTCTCCAAAAAGGACTTGGAGATGCTTTTGAACTCTGTCAAGACTGACAAATGGGGACTAGGCAGCTCCCATCCAAATATAACAAAAGTACTCCATTTTAGGTCTGATCTGGCTCTTATAAAGGTAGAGGATAGCATGAGGAGTCAGGTACTTACTGGAGCGATGCATGAAGCCAATCATTTTACCTGCATCTTTAGCGACGGATCGTACATAAGAGTTCCTCTTCAGGTCGGGTCTGATTTTAAGGTCCGATATTCTCTCAAGGCACCTTATCACCTCGAGAGGACATCCGTTCATCGTGACTGGCGGTAGTTAGGGTTCTGGTCGGCACTAGTTTCGTTTTAGAAGCATTGAATGTAACCAGCAAGATTTTTCCCCACTGAGAAGTTCGTGTTAAATCGGAAGAAAGGTCAGCTGCCAATCCCTGATCGTCAAGAGTTTTAGATGTGCGCCCTTATATCGTTGTATCGTCAGCATAGATGTTTACAAATGATCGGAATATATTCTTAGATGTAAATCAGAAATAGGGTTGATCCGAGAAGTGACCCCTGGTGTACGCCTGCGTTGACCGCTAGGGCCTCGGAGGACTGGCCTTTACTAACTACCTTCTGGGATCTACCTATCAAAAAGGATTTTATAATTGAGAAAAACCTTCCAGTAATTCCATTGCTAGAGAGCTTGTATAGAAAAACTTTGTGCCAAACTTTGTCGAAGGTCTTCTAGATATCTAATGCCATGGTCTTTGCCGTATGTGTGTCGTCAAGGGCATCACTAATTCTGTATGTAATAGTAGTTAGGACATCAGCAATGGATCGGGCTGATCGAATCCCATACTGCTCGTCGCACAGTAGGTTGTTCCTATGTAGATCCTCGACGACCTTCTTGTTGATTAAAACCTCAAAAAGCTTACTGATGATACTGAGGAGACTAATTGATCTATACTGAGAAGTGGGTCGCTCGCCCGCTTTCTTGATGGCCGGGCATACGCTTGCTTCCTTCCACAGGCTTGGGAAAGACTTCTCCTCCAAAAAGACAGTAATGAGTATCCCGGGAATGTGTACTTCTGCAATGGGATTGAGGCATTGATTTCCGTTTCAGACAAGACCAGGAGGCCGGATTTAAACTAAAGAAGATGGGGTTCCACTTCTAGAAAGTTAGAATATAGACCCCTTACATTGGTGTAGGAGATGGTATACCTGGGGTCTACTTTTTATGATGGGTTTGCTAGTTTTGTCCGTTTTCAATTTGATCGCTTTCATGTATGTTTTGGTTGGTTGGTTTGGTGGATAATTAGTAGGCAGTGAGACAGACTCCCATTTGAGATGTGCGCATAAATAACCTGGGTTAGCTCGTCCAGAGATACTGCCGTAACAGTACCTATCATCATATCATCCAGAAGCCTTACTGCATGGTCCACAAACCATTCATAAAATGGTAGTACAATAGCCTCGATATTATACACCCGCTCATAATATTTGGACATATGTTTATATGGACCTTTTACATACTTTTAGTGTCAAGAACCCACCACAAAAGTTCGTAAGAGTATTTTGGATTGTATCTTGGGTTGTACCTTTAAAAGCGTCTACCGTAAACTTTAAACTTAATAACTCATAAACGAAGGATTTGCGGACATTAGTTTATATGGACATTTTCCCTTGTTTTGGTGTGAGGAACCCGCTCCTAATGTATTTTTGATACACTTTACGCACACACACACAGATAGATAGATAGATAGATAGATAGATAGATAGATAGATAGATAGATAGAATTTACTAAAGTGAAATATATATGCACACATAAATATAAACATTATATTCATCTTACTTATTATAAAACGCAGATTTTGTGTGTGTGTATGTGTATGTGTGTGTGTGTGTGTGTGTGTGTGTGTGTGTGTGTGTGTGTGTGTGTGTGTGTACGTACGTTTATATATTGGATCGGATTTCCTACATTTTTCAACCGATTTCAACAAAACTTAACAGGACTGCGTAAAATTACCTTGCGGTGGTTCTGACAGCGCCAAAAATTGGAAAAACAATTGTTTTTGCACGAAATCAATTTGAAAACACAATAAAACACAATTCTGTCGCCAGAATGAAAGGGGGACAACTCATATCGAGTTATACTTATTATAAAACCCAGGTTGTGTGTGTGTGTGTGTGTGTGTGTGTGTGTGTGTGTGTGTGTGTGTGTGTGTGTGTGTTCATATATGGGATCGGATTTCCTACATTTTTCAACCGATTTCAACAAAACTTCACTTTTTTTTTGGCAGGTAGTGTTTCTTATTGTCTTGCACACTTTTTTCTTTATTTTCACATTCAGAATGCTTTAAAAATTCCAATTATAAGACAATTGTTTATAATAACAATCGGTAGACTCATAACGATTGAAAACAATGTTTTTGTTTGAGTTTGGGGTTAACCAATTCGTAAAAAAAAAAAAAAACTAATTAAGACATGCGTGTCCGTCAACCTTAAACAATAATCTTTGTCAATTTTATTTTTCAGTCTTCATGATGGTCGATACTTGATCTATCTCTTACTGTTACATCCCCGGGCAACGCCAGGCTCTATTGCTAGTAACAAATATAATTCATAGAAAATAGGGCCACGTAACGTTGAAAACACCAGTTTCCGTACGATCACAAGTGAGGTAACATCTAGCCTGGTCAATATATATATATATCGATTCTCCCGTCGGGTTCGACGTATGAGGGTCAAGTAGATCAGTTTCAAGGAAACTGACAGCCCGACACCGGCACATGAGATTCGATTATAGTGGTGAAGGTTTCGTGCAGGACCATCCACACTTTTTGAAGGGCCGAATACAGAAACCTGGTGCACTACGTGCCACAAGGTCCCCAAACAACCCCCATCAGGTGGAGGCAAGGTGGAGTAATGGTTATCTGCACGGATTGAGGAATCGCAGAGCCGAGTTCGAATCCGGGTTGAATCCATTACATTCACTTACGTGCTAATACCCTTGGGAAAGGTGTGAATCCTCTTCTTCTCCCTCCAGCTATGGGTAAAATAGCAGGACAGACTGGGTTCTATAGCATTGGATGGGAACTGGCCTAGGAGAAGTACAACTCTGAAACTTTATATATATATATATATATATATATATATATATATATATATATATATATATATATATTCACTTATGCACAAATACCCTGGGAAATCTATGACTTCATCTCTTCTTTCCCCAGTGATGGGTAAGACTTGTGTCACTAAGAAATATCTACAAAATGGATAAAATAAAACTGTGTACAAAATTTCGACTTTAAATAACCCATTTAGGTTGATATGCCGCTAAAATATACAAATAATTATACAAAATAATATCAATATATTTAAAACTTTATGCGTAAAGAAGCGTAAAAAATATATACATAAATATATATTCGTGTCTCATGCTGCTTTTGAAGACATAATTTTGAAGCTAATTTTCGGGGCTTCGTATCAAACAAAAGATAAAATTACTGTATGTACTGCTGGCCGTGGCTACGCCATTGACCAAACTATAGATCCATTTATTGTAGTCAAAGCTGCATTTAAAATAAGCATGATTTTGATAAAACTAATGTTTTACCTAACTGTATCCAATAATAATGCATCTAATATTCTCATATTAGTATCGTATTATAAAATCCAAACATAGCGAATATACATCTTTTCCAATGTTTACGTTCATAAGATGTTTAGCTGTTTCTTGTTTGGTTCTTTATAGCTGTACGCGTTTACGCAACGAGTATAACGTTACTAACGATACTTTTATCATTTGCTTTTACTTTTTTAATTTATTTAACTAGAAGATTAGATAAAGACATAGAGGAAAAGGGGTTAGTCTATTTGGTCTCTGAAATAAGGAACTCGCATGATACACGAGATACATGATAAAATCATTTTTTATAAGTGAAGATTAGAGGGTTGCACGATACGCAAGATCGCGTGTTATACGATTAAATATAGTATGTATATATTTCTGTTGATAAAGTCCATCCAAGGACAAAACGCGTTGGCTAAGATAAGTTTCCCTTTTGTTTTAATTCATATTGTCTTATCTGTCTATATTTCTGAGATGAGGTATTGTAATAATTTACATTATTCGTAAAGCCGTAGCACGAGGGCAAATAGAAAAATCAGGCGTAGATGACCACATATCGAGAGAAAAGTGAGATCATCGCACCATGGGATTTGGTTGTTATAATAGAAAACATCACTGGAAAATACGAAATCTTAAGGAATCAGCACATATGCTAAGCCACGAAAATCTCATAAGCCGGCCAAGCATAGCAATGAATACAATACAGGAACCAGTAATACGGAATGCTAGAGAAAAATAATAACAACAAAATTGCAATATGAGCTCTGGTAAAAAATGATTATTGAGACATTAAGTCCAAAAAATTCATACACTGATGTCCTCAAGGATAAAAGCGTTGGTTGGATCCAGTGACTTGGCCCAAAGAGTTGTGAGTTCAATACCTGGCTACTGCAGTGGGGAACAAAAAACTTGGAGAGTTGAGTTAAAGGGAGATAGCTGAGACATTCAGGAGAGGTATGGCACTTGGAACTAGAACAATCTACCCCATTGGATGAAATAAAGCGTTCAGCTCAAAATTCTAATCACCTGAAGGAGGTCGGAGCGTACAATATAGTGAACATGACAATAAAGATGAGGACAACAGTCCGAACAATGTAAGTAATGATAATCATATTGTCTTTTTACACGTATATATTTAGTTTTATCAGAATTTTTCCACGTATTTATAGATTTATTTATGTATAATATTCGTACACTAACGCGTACACATTCATATATATATTTGTAGTATCAGTCATATATATATATATATATATATATATATATATATATATTAAAACAAGTTGGAATATAATATTTTCAAAGAATGGGAAAGACAAAAGGCAGTATTGAGATAACAATAAATAAAGGTAGATATGCAAAAGATAAAAGTAATATATATCTTACGTGAATCTCCTTACTTATACAATTTTCCTGCCAGGCATTTCCCGCAATTGCATCTTCTCCGATAAAATGGCCACCACCTCCGTCTCGATATTAGAGTCAGTATCTGGCGTCGTGCTTGTTCTGTTTTGTAACTCTTCAGGTATTTGTACCTGATTTGCTTTCGATACACTCGTTTTATTATCTGTTGCCTGGATAAACCTCAAGAAAGTTGAAAAGAGTTAATCATTTGCATAAACGGCGCGAAAACATCGTACTTGCAGACTAACAGAGTACGCGTTATGTTATCGAATGAAAGCTTCCACACCCAAAACGTCATGATGCATTTGTTCAATAACACATTCATAGAAATATATAAAAGAGTTGTATAAAGATTTTCTTGAAGACACCGCTATTCACAAACAATTCATTTGTTACTTATTTGTATTCATCTTTTTGGGGAATTTGCGAATAGCGTATCGATTATCGGCACGTAAAGAGAAATCAACCAACCGGTTTCAAGTCCTGCTACGTTCTCCATCACATTCTCCCTCCTTAGGATGCAAGCGGTCATGGCTCTCCACAGCTTCTTTACAACATTAAATTTTTTTTTCTTTTCTTTTTTTCCTCATCCTAACTATCAAATCTGAGTATGCCATAGTTAATGCCTCAGAAAGAGAAATAGGCGAACCGGGTTCGAATTCCGACCGAGTTCATTACATTCACTTTCAGACTCACACTCCTGTGAAAAGTATGAATCTATCCCTTCCTACATCCCTACCCAGCTATGGGTTAAATAACAAGGCAGACAGCGGTCCTTAGCCTTTGTTGGCAACCAATTTAGAAGAAAGACAAACCTGAATTCAAAACCAGTTTGTCACATCTTTCGGGTAGGTGGAGCTCGATAGCCCAGGAAGGCAATCCATCTAGGAGAAGGAAAACTCTGGTTTAGAACCTCCCCTGCTTAGCCGTCATATCCAAACACGGAAAGAGCTATGGGAGTACATCCAGACAGAAAATCCGGAGTGGAACCCTTAAGGTGTTTGGCTGTCAACACTGACCAACTTTCCGGTAACCCCTGCAGCTAAGTGGTCCCCAAATGTAATGCCCTGTCGGTACGGTCGAGAGAGATGAGCATGTAATCTGGACGGTGCACGGCCTCCATATACCATCGCCCAGGACTGCGCCTTCGAGAGGTCACTCCAGTTTTACCACCAAAAGGACGGAATTTTGACCAAAGAGGGTGCCGCCTTCATATCGCAAGGTAAACGGATGCCTACTATGTAAATCTGAAGAAGTCCATATTATGCAACCATTGGAAAAATTCCGGAACTAACATTTCACTTGTATACTCGACTGAAGTAGCCCACCCCAATTCGCTGTTCTGCCATCCAGCTTTACACAAACTCGTTAGGCAACTCGTTTCCTTCTGAGCCTCTTGTCTTCATTATGTCCTTTGAGTGTTAAATTCTCCAAGCCTTCTTTCATCATTATCTATTTCTGATTCTAAATATTCTTCTTCTTCAATATGCAGTTGTCCCGTCAGTGCATGGGCGATCATGACACTCCACGATTTCCTATCCTTTGTAGATCTTAGCAATATTTGACTTTTTCCCATCTTTCCCAATCCCTATTCTGCCACCCATTTGCACAAGCCTCTTAGGGAGTTTGATCATGGCTCTCCACGACTTCCTGTCCTTTGCAATTTTTGGTAATGTTTGTCTTTTTACTATCTTTCCCACACCCTATTCCACCATTCATTCACAGAAGCTTGTAAGCTAGGTTGATCATGGCTCTCCACAACTTCCTATCCTTTGCAAATCTTAG